GTGAGGGGGTGGGCTATGCCGGTAGCTGTGGGGAGAGTGTGTCAGGCAGGGGGACTAGCAAGTGCAAAGACCCTGAGGTAGGAGCATGCCTCACCTATATAGTGGCTGTGGGAGGAGTACAGGGAGGGGAGCAGGAAATTGTCTCATAGGAACAGTGAGGGCCAGATCACACAGAGCTTTGTGGGCCATCGTAAAGACTTTGGCTCTTACTCTGGGTTAGCAGGAGCTACAAGGAGTTCTGAGCAGAGAAGAGACAGGTTCTGACTTAGGTTTTAACAGAATCCCGCTGGCTGCATGTGGGGATGGACTGTACTGGAGCTAAGGGCAGAATCAGGGAGCCCAGTGAGGAGGGAACTGCAGTTGTGCAAGCAGGTGATGGGATGGTGGCTCCATGGGGGTGGTAGCCATGGAGGTGGGGAGAAGTGATCAAATTCTAAATCTATTTTAAAAGTTGAACATTCAGGATTTGCTGGTAGATCCAATTATAAAACAGCCACACAATGGACCACTCCATAGCCATTTGAAGGGACAAGGTATATGACACCAAAAGCACTGGCAACCAAAAGGACAAAAGTAGGTAAATTGGACTACATCAAAATTAAAAACTCTGCAGCAAAGGACAAAATCCATAGAGTGAAAAAAAAGGTAGCCTGCAGAGTGGGAGAAAATATTTGTAAATTATATTTCTGAGAAGAGATTAATACCCAGAATATATAAAGAATTCCTACAACTTGGCAATGGAAAACCCAACTTAAAATGGTAAAGGACTTAAAGTAGACATTTCTGCAAAGAAGATACATGAGTGGCCAAAAAGCACATGAAACAATGCTCAACATCACTAATCGTTAAGGAAATGCAAATCAAAACCACAATAAGAGACCACCTCACACCCACTAGGTTGGCTACTATCAAGAAAAACAGAAAATAAGTATTGATGAAGCTATGGAGAAACTGAAAGTCTTGTGCACTGCTGGTGGGAATGTAAAATGGTGCAGCCACTATAGGAAGCAGTATGGCTGTTCCTCAAAAAAATTAAACATAGAATTACCATATGATCCAGCAATTCCACTTCTGGGTATATACACAAAAGAACCGAAAGCAGGATCTGGAACAGACATTTGCACGCCCGTGTTCACAGCAGCACTACTCACAACAGCCGAAAGGTGGAAGCAGCCCACGTATCCATCTGTGCATGAATGGGTTAGCAAAAATGTGGTCTAGAGATCAGCCAAAGAACACACCTGCATAGCCCATGGACACAGAAACAGTGTGGTGACGGCTGGAGGAGGGGAATGAGGGGCACTTGTAATAGTGTCAACAGTAAATAAATGTGATCTATACATAAATGAAATATTATTCAGTCTTTAAAAAAAAAAAAAAAGAATGATACATGCTACAATATGGATAAACCTTGAAGTCATTATGTGGAGTGAGACAAGCCAGTCACAAAAGAACAGGCCCTATGAGTCCTCTTATAGACGGTGCCTAGAGCAGTCAAATTCGTAGGGACAGGGTCGAGTGGTGGTTGCCAGGGGCTGGGGGAGGGAGAAATGGGGAGCAAGTGTTTAATGGGGATAGAGTTTCAGTTTGCGAAGATGAAAAGGTTCTAGAGAGGGCTGGTGATAGCTGCACAACAGTGCCGGCGTACCTAAGGCACTGAGCGGTCCACTGAAAAATGGGTAAGATGGGCCCTGGCTGGTTTGCTCCGCGGACTGAAGGGTTCGATTCCAGCCAAGGGCATGTACCTGGGTCGCAGCCTCGATCCCCAGCCCTGGTCAGGACGCATGTGGGAGGCAACCAATGGACGTGTCTCTCTCACATCGATGTTTCTCTCTCTCCCCCCTTCCACACTCTCAGAAAAGTAATGGGAAAAATATCCTTGGATGAAAATTTAAAAAAAAAAAAGGATAAGATGATAAATTTTAGGTTATGTGAATTTTACCACAAATTTTTATTTTAAAAAAAGACAAGGTGGATCTTCATATGTCAACATGGGAAGATGCCCAGTGGCCCTGTGACGTGAAAGGAGGCGTGGCAGACCAGTGTCCTGGTAGGGTCACATTTGTCTTGAAAACCTTCACCAGTAGCTAAATTTTTTAATGTGAAGAACACAGCGTTGATGAAGGTATGTGAAAACAGGTACTCTTACACACTTTCAGTGGTTGTGCAGAGTGGTACAACCTGCAGTTTTAAGTAATTGGCCATGGCTATTAAATCGGGAAATATCATTGGGCCCAGAAATGCTGGGCATTTATACTATGAAGAGGCTTACACCTGCCCAAAGACAAATGGACAATGTAATAGCAGAAGCTACCGTAACCGGAAAATACTTTGCAGCTGCTAAAATGACTGAGACATCTCTGCAGGAGAGGACCCGGGCAGGCACTGTCCCATAGAACTTTCTGGGATGATGGAAATATTCTACAGCTGTCCTGTGCATTTAAGAGCTACCAGCCACATGTGGCCACTGAGCACTTGAGATGTGGCTAGTGTGATTGACGAACTGGATTTTTTTTGTTCGATTTTGATTACATTTAAATAGCTTGTGGGTAGTGACTATAGTACCAAACAGCACACATCTAGAACTGTCTCCAAGGTCTATTGTTAAGTGAAAAGAGCCACGTGCAGGCCAGGATGTGTGGTGTGCCAACCTCCACATAAATGAGGGGAGATTCGGAAATTTACTCATGTGCTTGTTTGAGGATGTAGTCTCCTGCCGGGAGGGCCTTAAGAAACTGGCAACAGTGACAGGATTGGGTCCAGGATGCCTTGAATATTGTTGTGTAATAACACACCCTAAAACTTAGTGGTTTAAAAACAACCACCATCCTGCCCGGCCGATGTGGCTCAGTGGTTAAGTGTCATCCCATGCACCAAGAGGCCGCCGGTTCTATTCCCAGTCAGGGATCATGCCTGGGTTGCGGGCTCAAACCCCAGTGGAAGGTGTGCAGGAGGCAGCCAACTGATGTTTCTCTCTCATCGATGTTTCTATCTCTCTCTCCCTCTCCTTTCCTTTCTCTCTAAAATCAAAAATGTATTTTAAAAATAAATTCAAAAATGAAACAACCACCATCCTGCGTCCTGTGGATGTGCCCTGTGGGTCAGGAATTTGGACAAGGCGCCAGTGGACAGTTCGTCTCTGTTGGCTGGCTGCTGGCTGGAACGCCCACCGAGGGTGACTGCATTCCCATGTGTGGCACCTGAGCACAGATGGCCTCAGCTTAGTTCTTAATTCCTCAGTTCTCCATTATATAGTTTCTCCCTCCCCGTGTGGCCTCTCCAAGAGACCTCTGCTCAGAAGGTATCTTCACATGGCTTTCTTCATGGCCCCTGCACGTGGTCCAAGTTGTGACTCCATGTGGCCTTTCCACGTTGTCTCCCAGCTCAGCGGCCATACTTCTTACACAGTGGTTGGCTTACCCCAGAGCACAGAAGCCAAAGCTGCAAAGATACTAGGCCTTCTTTAAGCTTAAGCCCCAAACTGGCACACCACTATCTCTGTCACATCCATCAGTCAGCTCAGAAGCAAGGGCAGGGGACTGAACAAGGGACACATACCAGGCGGCTGGTTCATAGGGAGTCCCTACATTAAGTGCCACGGGAGAAGGGCTGGGCTCTGAGCGGCGAGGAAGAGCTGCACCGTCTTCTAACTTTACAATGTGCATGGATATGTATTAGCTTATTATTTGTTTGAGTTTGGAAAGCCATACAGCCAGCCGGGCGTGGCTTAGCGGTGGAGCGTCGACCTAGGATCCAGGCGATCAGGGTTCAATTCCCAGTCAGGGCACATGCCCAGGATTCGGGCTCAATCCCTAGTCTGGGGGGGCAGGAGGCAGCCAATCAATGACTTTCTCATCACTGATGTTTCTCTCTCTCTCCCTCTCCTTTCCTCTCCCTGAAATCAATAAAGATATATTAAGAAAGAAAAAAAA